TATAAAAAACTACAGGCCAATTTCTCTGCTTAACAACGACTATAAGATCTTTGCGGATATCATGGCCAGTAGACTTAAGAAGCTCCTAATGAAGTATTTACATAAAGACCAAGTGGGTTTTCTCCCAAACAGACACCAGAAAGAAAATGTCCGCCACATATTAAATATCATTGAATACCTAGATATGAGAATAGATGTCCCGGCTGCACTAATCTTTATAGACGCCGAAAAGGCCTTCGATAACGTTTCATGGGAATTTTTATTACAATGTTTGGGAAAGGCAGGTATTGAAGGCCCATATTTGAAAGGCATCAGGGCAATATACTCAGAACAACAGGCCAGGATGATCATAAATGATAATTTGACGAAACCATTTAAGATTAAGAAGGGTACAAGGCAGGGCTGCCCTCTGTCCCCCCTGTTATTTATAATGGTTCTAGAAGTTATTGCAAATAGAATAAGGGAGGCAGCGAATGTGAGGGGGATAAAAATTGGAAACAAAGAATTTAAGCTTAAAGCCTATGCTGATGACCTGGTGCTGTCGGTGGAGAACCCAGTGGATAGTGCAAGCAAGGTGGTTGAACTTTTGGAAGACTTTGGCAGACTGTCCGGCTTTAGATTAAATAGGAAGAAAACAAAAGTCCTAACAAAGAACATGACCGAACAGGAGAAATTCATCTGGAAGAAAAGATTGGCATTAAAGTAGTGAATAAAGTGAAATATCTGGGAATTTGGCTCTCACCTAAAAATATAAACCTGGTTGAGGACAATTACAGTAAGGTGTGGCAGGACATTAAAAAGGATCTAGATACTTGGCATAGATTGAAACTTTCCTGGGCAGGGAGGATGGCAGCTATTAAGATGTGCATCCTCCCGAAACTACTATTCCTCTTTCAAAATATCCCGATAATTAAAGGCACCTCCACTTTTAAGACCTGGCAAAGAACCCTGACCAAGTTTATTTGGCAGGGGAAGAGGGCCAGAGTAAAGCTGAAATATTTAACAGATTCGAGAGAAAGGTGTGGATTTGCGGTTCCAAATATTAGATTATATTATGATGCAGCCTGTATCTGCTGGATAAAGGAGTGGGCCACCCTTAGAAACTCAGACCTTCTAGATCTGGAGGGTTTCAATATAAGATTCGGGTGGCATGCCTACCTGTGGCAAGATAAGGGGGAGGTCCACAGAGGATTTTCTAATCATATTATCAGAGGCCCACTGTTGGAAGTGTGGAAGAGGTATAAAAAAGTGCTCGAGAAAGGTACCCCATGGTGGCTTTCCCCAACCAATATTATTAAATTAAAAAAAATAAATATGGCAGATGAAAAATGTACGTATGAGGATATTTTAGAAAAGACAGAAACAGGATGGAGGGTGAAGCCTTATGAGGTACTGAAAGATAAAATAAAAGACTGGTTCCACTTTCACCAGATTCACGCCTTATGGGGCGAGCATAAAAGACTGGGCATGAAGGAAAAAAAATCATGGTTCCAGGTAGAAATCTTGGAAAGTAATAGTAAATCCCTATCAAAAATGTATAAAAAATTATTGGAATGGGACACTAAGGAAGATCGGGTGAAAGGGGTTATGGTAAAATGGGAGAAAGACATTGGTCATAACATAGACTACAGTAAATGGCAAAAGCTCTGGACGACAGGTGTAAAATTTTCAGCATGCATAGCTTTGCGGGAAAATTTAGAGAAAATGGTCTACCGTTGGTATTTGACCCCAGCAAAGCTAGGAAAATGTACAAAACAGCTGATAACACCTGTTGGAGATGTAAAGATAAGGTCGGGACTTTCTTTCACATTTGGTGGACCTGTGATGTAATAAAAGGATTTTGGACGCAAATTCATGACGAATTGAAAAAAATCTTGAAGTATAACATCCCCAAAATCCCTGAGCTGTTTCTTTTAGGGCTGATTGGTAAAGAAATAAAGAAAACAGACCAAACCTTTTTCCAATATGCTACGGCTGCGGCGAGGATTCAAATACCACAAAAATGGAAAACCTCTGACTTACCTGCTATAGGAGAGTGGCAAATGAGGCTATACCAATACATCGAGTTAGCAAGATTAACACAAAAAATAAGACAACACAACTCGAGCAAACTTAAAAATGAATGGAATAAATTCTTAATTTATTTTGAAAACATACAGGGTTTAAATAATTTATCAGTAGACGATAGCTGAAATCTTCGGTGTGTATTTGTATTATTAAAACTGCAATAACAATATAAGAATTGGTAACTCCAAGACCGAGCTGGACGGAAGCTTTGTCAATAGCACCTGTGTCCGTGGTGCTTTTGTTTCTCTTTTTTTCTCTTTTTTCTTTTCTTCTTCTGTTCTTTTTTATTTTTGCTTTTTTGTTCCTTTTTTCATTTTTCGCTTTTGTCTGATGGAGCTCTTTTCGTGCATGTTTGTACTTGTAATGTTTGTAATATATTGTAATCTGTGCATTTTTTCATAATAAAAAATTAAAAAAAAAAAAAAAAAACAGGGCACACAAGGAGGTCTGGATGAGGCCAAAGTTGGAAGCCACATCCTGGGGAACAAGGGCAAGAATGGCTATTTCCTATTATTATTATTAAATTTTATTTATACCCCACCCTCCCCAGCCAAGACCGGGCTCAGGGCAGCTAACACCGGTATAAAAACAATTGATTGAAATACAACTTAAAAACAAGATTAAAACACAACATTAAAATGCAGCCTCATTTCAGTAGGAACTCAAATCAAAAACTTTTTGGGGGATGAAAACGTCAAGTCTTCACCAAGGACAGACTGTGCTCAGGGACATCTGACTGGCCAGTGTGTGAAACAACACATTAGTCTATGTGGACCTTTGGTCTCATCTAAAGATGCTCTTTTTAATTTTTTACTTCAGCTCTTATTATTTTAATACTAATGATGATGATGATGATGCAGAATTGGGAATACAACATTGCAAAACACCCCAGCTGCCAGACAACTGTGCGTCTAGGAGGTTGAAACTCCTGGAAAAATACGATCCAGCAAGCGAGAGCTGTTAAACTTCGCTTTGTTCATTTCCCCGAAGGAAGGTGAAGAGGGGATGGAGGTCTGTTTCATGTTGGAAAGGAAGCAACAATAGCAAGGGGGTGATTAACACTCGGAACCAGCTGCCAGCAAGAGGGGGGAGGGCTCTTTCCAAAGAGGCCCCCATCCTCCCACTGTTGCTGCTCACAGGCTTGAACATCAGAGGAACATCCCTGGCCAGAAATATAAGTTATTTCCACCGCTGCGTGGAAAGTACCTAAGGATTAGGCCACACAAACACATGCACCCCTCCCTGCAGTTTCTCCACTGAAAGTTCCTCCAAAGGCTGCTTTTGGTTTTTTTTTTAAAAAAGGAAAGGTGGGAGAGATACAGACATGGTCAAGTGGTTTGGTTGAAACCTCAGCCACACCTCTACCTGACCTGTATTTTGATAACAACATGGGAAGAGCCTGTTGGATCAGCTTCCTGCATTTCAGGGGGTGGGCTGGATGACCCTCAGGGTCCCTTCCAACTCTACAATTCTGTGATTCTATGATAGTTCAATCTTGCCTCGAGGAGTTCGCCTCGAGGATGCTGATTCCACCACCTACCTCAGCAGCCCAGCCCTATTCCCTAAGCTGGTTTGATTCTAATGTGTTGTTGTTTAGTCGTGTCCGCCTCTTGGTGACCCCCTGGACCAGAGCACGCCAGGCACTCCTGTCTTCCACTGCCTCCCGCAGTTTGGTCAAACTCATGCTGGTAGCTTCGAGAACACTGTCCCACCATCTCGTCCTCTGTCGTCCCCTTCTCCTTGTGCCCTCCATCTTTCCCAGCATCAGGGTCTTTTCCAGGGAGTCTTCTCTTCTCATGAGGTGGCCAAAGTCTTGGAGCCTCCGCTTCAGGATCTGTCCTTCAGGGCTGATTTCCTTCCGAATGGAGAGGTTTGATCTTCTTGCAGTCCATGGGACTCTCCAGAGTCTCCTCCAGCACCAGAATTCAAAAGCATCCATTCTTCGGCGATCAGCCTTCTTTATGGTCCAGCTCTCACTTCCATACATCACTACTGGGAAAACCATGGCTTTAACTATATGGATCTTTGTTGGCAAGGTGATGTCTCTGCTTTTTAAGATGCTGTCTAGGCCTGTCATTGCTTTTCTCCCAAAAAGATTCTAATGTACATCCCTATAATTTAGAGCCTACTTCTGTATTCACCGGAACTGTTAAGAAGAGGCTGCTGGATGAGGCCAATGGCCCATCTCATCCAGCCTCCTTTTCTCACAGTGACCAACCAGATGCGTCTTCTGGGAAGCCTGGAAGCAGGATCCGAGCACCAGAGCAACTCTCCCCTCCTGAGATTCAGAAGCCTCTGACTGTGGAGACTGGGCAGAGCCATCAATTATTATTATTATTATTATTATTATTATTATTATTATTATTACCCCACCATCCCTGGCCAGAGCCGGGCTCAGGGCGGCTAACACCAATAAAATCACAGTAAAAACACAATGGGGGGGGGGGAACCAATTTAAAATACAGGTTAAAATGCAATTTAAAATGCAGCCTCATTTTAAAAGTAGCCCATAGATCAAGACCATAAGGGGAGGGAAGCATAAGGGTCAGACTGAGTCCAGACCAAAGGCCAGGGGGAACAGCTCTGTCTTGCAGGCCCTGCGGAAAGATGTCAAGTCCCACAGGGCCCTAGACTCTTGTGACAAGAGCGTTCCACCAAGTCGGGGCCAGTGCTGAAAAGGCCCTGGCCCTAGTTGAGGACCAATCTAACCACCTTGCGACCTGGGACCTCCAAAATGTTGTGGGTCCTAGGCTGCGTAGGCTTTAAAGGTCAAAACCAGCACCATTGTGGCTTATAGCCCTCTCCTCTTCCCTGAATTTGTCCGATCCTCTTCCAAAGCCATCAAAGTTGGCGGCCACCCCTGTGGCAATGAGTTCCACAGCTTCACTATGAGCTGCCTGAAGAAGCACTTTCCTTCTCCTTTGTCCTTGCAGATCTCCAGCTAGAAACATGGGACCTGGAATGCGAGCGCAACAATCGGGAGCACCGGACCTCCGAGAACGGCAACGAGCGTCTGATCGTGCGCAGGGGGCAGCCGTTCACCATCACGCTGCACTTTTCCGGGAGGGAGTACCAGGAAGGCGTGGACCAGCTCACGTTCCACGTTGAGACAGGTGAGTCCTCCTTGATGCTCCTAACACATCGTCCTCCACCGTGCTGACTTCTGGACTTGGCTGGACCACAACTCCCAGGGAGGCTGGGCTGGTGCGAGTTGGAGTCCTGCAGCGTCTGGAGGGCACCAGGTTGCTCAAAATCAGTGGCAAGCAAGTAGACAGGTAGTGTTGCGTAGTGGTTAGGGTGCTGGACTGGGACCTGGGAGAGGCCAGGGTTCAAATCTCTCCCCTGGGCCATGAAGCTCTTCCGGGGTGACCTGGGCCCAGTTGCTGCCTCTAAGCCTAGCCTACCTCCCAGGCAATAAATTAATAAAGCAAATAAATCTGGTTGGACTTTAGAGACCCAGTGGTGGTACTGTAGTTAAAGAGTTGGTCTGTGAGCTGGGGGACCAGGGTTCGAATCCCCTCTCTCTCAGCTTTACCTACCTCGCAGGGTGGTTGTGGGGATTAAATGAGGGTGGGGGAACCATGTTTTCCGCTTTGAGCTCCGTGGGGGAAATGATGGGGTATAAATGCAATAAGTAAATATGGATTAAGGCAGCGCTGCTCTTAAGGTTCAGCCCACTAAACTGAGCTGGACATTTTACAGGAATGTGAGAATCCGTTCTCGACATGCGGGCACCACAGGTCTGGATCTTGACCACACGCATCCTGGTCCTCAGCCCTCTCTGGTGCAAGGAAGCACTGCATTGCTGTCTCATGCCTGGGAACTGGGTCTGAATGTTTCCCCCAGTCTCAAGGCTGCTTTTTAATGTGACTCTGGCGAAATGTCACTGGGGTGAAGTAGCTTTGAATGCTGCGGCCAAATGGGTGGAAGGGCTTGATGTAAAACTGAAATAACAGCCTCAGACTCATAATAATACAGCTTGCAGTGGGGTCCAAACTTTTTTCAAAGAGGGCCAGATTTGATGAAGTGAAGGGCCGTGAGTGCTGGCCAGAGGGCCAACCAAAGTTGTTCAGCTTTTTTTAGGATTGAGATTGTTGAGTTGTTGTTTTTTAGGATTGAACCTACCAGGTTAAACCTACCAGTAGGCCGGATTAGGCCCCCAAAACAGATTATGGACATGCCTTAAGGCTTAAGGGTTTTTAGCCCTTTAAAAACCTCAGTTTAAAAACCTCCAGTGAAGGAGACTTCACTGCTTTCTGAGGCAGTTGAGTTAGCAGCGGCCTCTGCCCAGAGTGGCAACCCAGTTAGATGGGCGGGGTACAAATAATAAAATTACTATTATGATTATTACTAAGTAACTGTGCAAGGCCACTTTTGCTCCTGCCACCCTTCTTCTTACTTTAATCAAAAACCAGCCAACAACTTGGTTCCTCCTTTTTTCCTTTCTTCCTGATTATTTTTGCCAATTTTCCCTTATTGTTCTTCTGTGGACAATGCAGCCAGGAAAGGAAAACATGGTAGAGGACGGGTGACCTCAGGCTCCGTCCCTGGCCAGGGTCCTCTCTCTCGCTTTGTTGTTGGGCTCAGGAAACACTGGTGGAAAAAAGGGAGTCATCCTCCTGGAATTTTGCAGCAGCAGCAGCCAGGCCCTGGAAACCCATTTCGTTTTGGCTGGTGACCTCAGAGGTGTTGCAAAAGCAAACAAGGGGGGACTTTTGTGGAGGAAGCAGAAATGGAAAGAAATGATCCGGTTTGTGCAGCGAGAATGGGGGGAGCTGTGCGGGGAGCAGCTGGAGGAAGAGGCACATTTAAGATAATGGACTGGACTTGCACTGGTTGGGAAGCTGGGATTTGAAGGAGCTGAGTATGTTTAGCCTGGAAAAGAGGAGACTGAGAGGTGACACAAGCGCCATCTTCAGACCTTTGATGTGCTGCCGTTTTCTCCGGCTCTGGAGGGGAGGACCTGAATCAATTATCCAGGTTTGTTGTTGTTTAGTCGTTTAGTTGTTTAGTCGTGTCCGACTCTTTGTGACCCCCTGGACCAGAGCACGCCAGGCTCTCCTGTCTTCCACTGCCTCCCGCAGTTTGGTCAAACTCATGCTGGTAGCTTCGAGAACACTGTCCCCACCATCTCGTCCTCTGTCGTCCCCTTCTCCTTGTGCCCTCCATCTTTCCCAACATCAGGGTCTTTTCCAGGGAGTCTTCTCTTATCATGAGGTGGCCAAAGTATTGGAGCCTCAGCTTCAGGATCTGTCCCTTCCAGTGAGCACTCAGGGCTGATTTCCTTCAGAATGGATCGGTTGGATCTTCTTGCAGTCCATGGGACTCTCAAGAGTCTCCCTCCAGCACCAGAATTCAAAAGCATCAGTTCTTTGGCAATCGGCCTTCTTTATGGTCCAGCTCTCACTTCCATACATCACTACTGGGGAAACCATACCTGGAACCAATTATCTGACCAAATATTAGGAAGAACTTTCTAGTGGTATGAGCCATTGGACAGTGGAACGGACTCCCTTGGAGGTTTTTAAGCAGAGGTTGGGTGTCCATCCATCAGGGATTCATTGGCTGAGATTCCTGCATTACAGGTGGGTTGGGCTAGATGACCCTGAGGAACCCTTCCAGCTCCCCAGTTCTGTGATTCTAAGAGCCAGTATTTCTCTTTATTCATACCTTCCAGCTGTTCCTGTTCTTTTCCCGTGTGAGGGCTCTGTTACTGTTTCCTGGAGTTTGTCAAAGCAGAAGAGTCCTGCCAAATAATTAGCACGTGAAATCCAGCCCCAAGGCATTCCTCTCTGAACATAATGCTTTCAGACGGGGAGATGGCGATTTGACAAAGATGTCTTGCCCTGGGAGTTAAGAACATAGAAAGATCCTGCTGGATCAGAGCAATAACACGTCTGTCCAGCATCCTTTTTTCACAGTGGCTGACCGAGATGGTTGGTGGGGAAACTTGCAAGCAGGATTTGAGCACAAGAACAAACACTCTCCCAGCCTGAGGTTTCCAGCATAGCCATCCCAGCTAGTAGCCATCAGTAGCCCTCTCCCTCAGGGATTTGGCCAATTCTCTTTTAAGGCCATCTAAACCTGCCTTCCTGTGGCAGGGAGTTCCATAGTTTAACTATGAGCTGTGTGAATAATGACTTTTCTTTAATCTGTCCTGAATCTTCCAGTGTTCAGCTTCATTGTATGTCCTTGAGTTTTATGCTTAGGAGAGAGGGGAGGGTCTCTCCTCC